CCGCCGCCGCCGGAGTGCAGTGCTCGACAAACTGCTTGGCAACTGGGATTTTGTCACTGATGTTCTGATCAAATATTTCAGGATTTGAAACAATTGGCAGGAAGACGTTAACGAAATCTTCGGAATATGGCGGCGCGACAATTTCAAGCACTTCCACTGCAAAATACCTGAAAATATTGCGTGGGAGAAAGGCAGAAAAAGGAACGGAGTGTGCCAACGAAGTAGCACTCATTTTGCGCATAGTGCCGCCACTTCAGGACCGCGGCATCAATTCTCACGTAAGTCTGGGCCCCGAATATGAGAGGGTGAAAGTTTTGGCGGGAAAATTGCTAACTCCGTATTTTATGGATTCATGCTACGGGGATAATATATTGGCCTCAGTTCATCCCCGTGAACATGCTTGCACAGGTAAAACGACAAAGCTATGTGCTTTACCATAGAACAAAATCCCTTCCACAAATTCCCGAGTCATCTAAAATCAGGTCAGACATTTTTTGCACCATAAAACTCAAAAAAAAGCAGTAGAGTGCTCGGGAGGTCGGCTCGATCTTGGTGTTTTACTTACAATTTGCTATGGTAGCTGGACATTAGAAGATCCAGATTTTTACATTTACAGATTGAGTTGAGAAGCTGAACTTTGGGTCACAGATCAAGATAAAACAGGCTCAGAGAAATGCTTTCGCCTTGAAGTGATGATGTACCCCCTATTCCAAGCTGGTTGCTTCTCTAGTTCTCAGTTTACTAATTTTATGCAAATTTCGGGCTGGATTCGCAGCTAGGGGGGGTTTGCATGTGGGGGAAAAAGTGTTAAATAGGATGTGGAAGCAGGGGATCGAACGGGGAAAAAGTGTTAGAAAAAATAGCATAAAGGAAACAGAGGAAAGCACACTGCTAGTGCATTTTTATGGATTTTAATGCTATTCAACGCCACAACTGATTCCATTTCTTCCATCAAAATTTCCACCCTCCCCCTCCCCCTTCTTCGGCCCCTCAAATGGCGAAATTTCCACCTCTTTGGGCAAATGAACTTCACAGCTTGACTTAAATTCTCCTCATTTTTCGCCGCCCCTAATTTGCATCGAAGAATTGCAGAGGATTCTGCACTAGTTGTTGGACAAGGAAAGGGATGTGTGAGAGTAAAAATTTTTACCTGATAAGGGAAATGTCAATTTGCCCATCACGGAACATTTTGTTGATTTTTTCTACAACTGGCAATGCCAGGCCTACTGAAAGCAGGTGCACGAAACGATCCACAACACTGCGCTGCTTCTCCATGATCACTTCGGCTGCTTCATTCATCGTCGATTGCCGGTCATAGAGCTCACACAGAACCCGGAACACTCTGAAAACCTTAACTTTTTAACAATCGGTTTTTTAACAATTCCTCGAAAAAATAGCTATCTCTTTGAAAATAACAAGAAAAAAAGAAACAAATACTGAACTGATTAAGCCTATTCAATTAAAGATTATTTCAAGTCGAATAACCGAAAGTGGAGGTATCTGCGGGCAAATATAACATCTTAATTAGGAGGAACTACTGCCAAGGATAATAAAAAAGCGATAGGACACAGAATTTCAGCAAACA